ATCACTCGCCTAGATCCAACCATCCTAGAATGTGAAGTCAAGTGGGCCTTAGGAAACATCACAATGAACAAAGCTAGTGGAGGTGATGACATTCCAGCTGACTGTTTTAAGTCCTAAAAGATGATGCTGTGAAAGTGCTGCATTCAATATGTCCTCAGATTTAGAAAATGCATCCTTATAGTATTATACAGAGTATTTGATTGCTCTAAAAATCCTCTGTGCTCTGCCATTTTATCCCTCTCCTCAACCCATGGATCATGAGTTCCAGTCCCACAACTTCATGACAAATAGAAGGGGAAAAAGTGGAAGCAGAATAGATTTTATTTTCTTGGGCTCCAAATCACTGCAGATGGTGACTGCCACCATGAAATTAAAATACCTTTGCTCCTTGGAAGGAAAGCTATTACAAATCTAGACAGTGTATTAAAAATTAGAGATATCACTTTGCCAACAAAAGTCCATCTAGTCAAAGCTCTGGTTTTTCTAGTAGTCATGTATGGATGTGAGAGTTGGACCACAAAGAAATCTGAGCACTGAAGAATTGATGCTTTGAATTGTGGTGCTGGAGAATTTTCTTGATATCCCTTAGGCTGCAAAATGATCAAACCAGTCAATCCTGAAGGAAATCAACCCTGAATATTCATTGGAAGGACTGAAGCTGAAACTGAAATTCTAATATTTTATTCACCTGATGCGAAGAACCAACTCACTAGAAAAGACCCTGATGCTGGGAAAGATTGAGGACAGGAGGAGAAGGGGACCACAAAGAATGAGACGGTTGGATAGCATCACTGACTCAATGGTCATGGGTTGGAGCAAACTCTGGACATAGTGTAGGACAGTGAAGCCTGGTGCACCGCAGTCCATGGGGTTGCAAAGAGTTGGACACAACTTAGAGACTGAACAACAATAACGTCAACCCCAGAAACCACTCATCTTTAATGTGTCCACGGTTTTTCCTTTCCCAAAATATCAGGTACCTGGAACCGTACAGTATGTAGCCTTTTCAGATTGGTTTCTTTAACTTAGTGATAATCATTTGTTTCCTCCATGTCTTTTCACAGCTGATACCTCATTTCTTTTTAGTGTTAAATAATATTTCATTGTTTCCATGTACACTGTTTGTTTATCCATTCACCTGCTGAAGATAGGCTTGGTTGCCTCCAAGTGTTAGCCATTATGAATAAAGATGTCATAAACATTCATATACAGGTTTTTGTGTGGATATGCATTTTCTCAAGTCCTTTAAGTAAATATCAAGAAGTGAAGTTACTGGATTGTACTGGTAAGAGTATGTTTAGTTTCGTTAGAAACTACAAAACTATTCCAAAACAGCTATACCATTTTTCATTTCCAGTAGCAATGAAAGCCCCTGGAGAAGGAAATGGCAACCCACTCCAGTGTCCTTGCCTGGAGAATCCCATGGACAAAGGAGCCTAGCAGGCTATAGTCCATGGGTTTGCAAGAGTTGGACACAACTTAGCGACTAAACCACCAAAAAACAATGAAAGAGAGTTCCTGTTGGTCCACAGCTTTATCAGCTTTTGAAGATGTCAGTGTTCTGAATTTTGGCCGTTTCAAATGCTGTGTAGTAGACAAATTTTTAAATAAATAATAAAATCTAATTTCTTACTTTCTAACCAAAAAACAAACAAACATGCTTTTAATTGTAGCTACCCATAGTGTATTTCCCTATAAACTAATAATCATGTTAGTTCTGATTTATGAACTGTTTAGTCATTTTAGGTTATAGAAATCTGTCATTTCTGATTATCCTTTCTTCCTACATAAAATCCTTATTTTTCCTGAAAAGATTTCAAAAGAGGAAAAATATGTATTATATTTTCCTCCATACAACAAATGGGTAATTTGTTGATTGTAAAGAGTAAAATCAATACTGTATCTGAAGACACCAAAAATTATAGAAGCTTATTAAATTATGTGATTCCTGAATAAATTACAATTTTCTAATTACCACTGTCCAATGCTTTATCTTATTTGTACAGAAAGTCTGCAGATTATTTCCAGTAAGCCTCTGTTAAAATAGTTTTTTTTTTTTTTTAATTCCTCTGACTATTTCTTCCTGGTTCAGTTTTGGAAAGTTATACTTTTCTAAGAATTTGTCCATTTCTTCCAAGCTGCCCATTTTATTGGCATAGAGCTGCTGGTAGTAGTCTCTTATGATCCTTTGTATTTCAGTGTTGTCTGTTGTGATCTCTCCATTTTCATTTCTAATTTTGTTAATTTGGTTCTTCTCCCTTTGTTTCTTAATGAGTGTTGCTAATGGTTTGTCAATTTTGTTTATTTTTTTAAAATAAACCCTGAAACAGTATTTTAGCACAAATATAGAACATAGGTCATGAAACACCGACATAGTTTCTTCCCCCGTGTGGAAACCAAATAATGTTGTAGGACTGGAATGATGAGCCAAACCTTCAATCTACACTGAAAGTGGAAGTTGCTCAAGATCTGAACTACTGCATTCTGAAATTGCTCCTGGTTGAAGATTCACGATTAAGAAAGTCCAAGAGAAGCTGACAATGAAATAAACAAAATGATATTTTTTTCTATTAATTCTCTTTCCTGTATCACCATCCTTCTTTTGTTTTTCCATTACTTTTGTTTTAGCTCTCATATTTTAATAGGAATGTTGTCATTTAAAAAAAATTTCCCTTGATGTAGGAACACATTGTTTTAAATTTAATTTTTGCAAGGTCCCACCTGTTGGGAGGTCAAATTTTTGGAAAAGTTGAAACCCTCAAGATAGTTACTGAAAAGTATATGGAAAAGATTAATGTCTGTCATATGATATCAAACATATGAACGTAAGCCTTCAGCTTAAGAGTGATATTTACCCTTTTAGACATAGTTTAATTTAGTTTAGTTTCCCCCATCTTAATGATAAAACCATCCAATCAAAATGTAATAAAACCCAAATTTCTATTAATTGATAAATAGACAAAATATATAATACCATACAATGGAATATTATTCAGCCATAAAAATGAAGTACTAATACTACACTTAGATGAACTTTTAGGTCATTTGTTGGGTGGAAGAAGTCAGTAACAAAAAGCCATGTTTTGTATGAATCTGTATGTATGAAATATCCAGAACAGACAAATCTGCAGAGAGGAGCTTGGTAGTAGGCAGGGACTGGGCAGCAGAAGAAATGGAGGTGGATTGCTAATGGGTATGAGGTTTCTTTTGGGAATGAAGAAAATATTCTGGAATTGGATAGTGCTGATGGTTGCATGAGGTTGTGACTATACCAAAAATCACTGAGTTTTACATTCTGAAAGAATGAATTTATAATATATGAATCCTATTGCAATTTTAGAAAGGAGGGTAAAGGGACCTGATATATCCACACTGATCATAGCAACTAATAACGATGAGAACTTAAAAGAAATCAAGAAGTGAGAAAACCTGTAAGGTAAAGGCATAAAAACTGAGAACAAATAAGAACATGTGCCACTTCAGCATAGTGACAAGATGCAGTGGCTCAGCCATGTGAGGCCAGATCTGCCAGGACTACCTCCTTTAAACATACACCCCACACTTCCCAAAGATTGGTAACCTTAACTTTCACTTAGGAAAAGGTTGTTTACCTCCTGTCTCATCAGTAAAAATCATCTCTATACCTCTCTAAAATTCCTAGTTATGAACTTGAACCATGAGAAAAAGAGAGAAAATTATATGAAAGCATAAAACTGGCTTTAGAGGATTTCCATAAGTTCATTTTTTAAAAAATTTTAAAACTTTGATTTTCGAGAAATTTTTCTTATGTTGACTAACTCATTCCCAAAGGATAGTGTATTTCCTTTATTCTTCTTAGTTATTTTCTTAATAACCTTTAAAATTTTTACTTTCTTGCCTCTGCTTCCTGTTCTTATTCCCATTCTAGTTCAGTTCAGTTCAGTTCAGTCACTCAGTCATGTCTGACTCTTTGTGACCCCATGGACTGCAGCACGCCAGGCTTCCCTGTCCATCACCAAGTCCCAGAGTTTACTTAAACTCATGTGCATAAAGTTGGTGATGTCATCCAATCATCTCATCCTCTGTCGTTCCCTCCTCCTCCCACCTTCAATCTTTCCCAGCATCAGAGTCTTTTCCAATGAGTCCGTTCTTCACATCAGGTGGCCAAAGGATTGGAGTTTCAGCTTCAACATCAGTCCTTCCAATGAACACCCAGGACTGATCTCCTTTAGGATGGACTGGCTGGATCTCCTTGCAGTCCAAGGGACTCTCAAGAATCTTTTCCAACACCACAGTTCAAAAGCATCAATTCTTCGGCACTCAGCTTTCTTTACAGTCCAAATCTCTTGTAGTCCAACTCTCATATCCTTACATGACTTCTGGAAAAACCTAGCTTTGACTAGATGGACCTTTGTCAGCAAAGTAATATCTCTGTTTTTTAATGCACTGTCTAGATTGGTGATGACTTTTCTTCCAAGGGGCAAACATCTTTTAATATCATGGCTGCAATCACCATCTGCAGTGATTTTGGCGCCCCCCAAAATAAAGTCTCACTGTTTCCATTGTTTCCCCATCTATTTGCCATGTAGTGATGGGACTGGATGCCATGATCTTAGTTTTCTGAATGTTGAGTATTAAGCCAACTTTTTTCACTCTCCTCTTTCACTTTCATCAAAAGGCTTTTTAGTTCTTCTTCACTTTCTAAGTATTTTATATTTATTCAGGAACTATACTAGGTTATGAATATAAATAATTGCAATAGTATGTCTTCCTTTGCAATTCACATATATTCAGAATATAAAATAAATTTTATACAAACAATAGAATTTCCTAAAGACTAATGATTTTGGGAGTGAAAACAATCATAATATTTTACCTCTTGAGGGATTCTTGAAAATCAAATGTAAAATAGACACCTTACTTAAAATTTGCCTTTGAATATCTATTAGAATGATAAATCTGTAAGTAAAATGGCTTTTTGTAATTATTGCTAATAATATGATTTCATTTTGATTACGCAGGAAATACCACACTCATTTATTACAGTTTGATGGTGAAGGAGGTTGGCGCTTTGAACAACTGGATAGTGCTATTCGTTTAACACTAAGTGAAGAAAAACAAAAGCTAGAATCTCAGCTAGCCGGAATTCCCAAAATGCAGCAGAGACTCAATGAACTATGTAAAATTTTGGGAGAAGACTCAGTGCTGAAAACAATAAAAAATGAAGATGAAACATCCTAATTTATTCTGATATGTTTTAAATGTTAATTTTTAGTTAAAGGCTCAGAGACATTGTTACAGTTCATGCATTGCATTAAGCTAAGCCCAGAGGGGAAAAAGGTAGCAAGAAATGTTTTATAAGATTTTAGCATCAAGGAAATATATGAGCTGACTTTTCAGAAGAAAATAAACAAATACATATGTAAGATTAATCATGGCTTATACTAATTCCTAATGAAAGACTAATTCACATGTAAAACAGGATTTTCTAGGTGAGTTAGCAAATTTGCTGTGTGTATGTGATGTGTCTGAAATTCTTAACATGAGACCTATCTTGAGGATGGACAACTTAAGAACAATATTTGGGTTGAAACCATGTGCATAAAATTAGAAGTTTGAGTGATATTTTTGTCCATTTATGGTTGTTAGATTTAACAGCTAAAATTTATGGTTCCTTTATTGATAGTGGTCAACTAAACCTGTGTACACAATAGTTTAATAATTTCAACATGAAAAAATTCTTTTAATGACAGTGGTTGAAAGAAAGAAGCATGGCTTTGCTTCTTTTATATGTAAAAAATATCCTGTTTTTAATTTTAAATTTTGAGCATCTCAATGTGGGCACGTAACAAGTTCATTTTAATGAGAATCTTACGTATTTGTTAGTAAACTTTTTCATTTTAAAAAGAGAATTGCCAATATAGAAAAGGAGTATCCAAACAATATTTGTCTCAGCCTATTACTTTACTTGAAAGGATTATTTATTGAAAATTCTGTCCAGAAATACTTAGCTTGTTTTTACATTCAAAGGGTCCACCACATTTTAAAAATAGCAGTGCTATAAGAATAGAGAGATTTTCAAAATCAGAGTCATAATATACATAGAAATAGTACTTTATAATTTGTAATTTATAATAATATAATTTAAAATCCTCATTTACATCATTTCATTTTAATCCTTATGGCAAACTTTTGAGGCAGATATTATTTTTCCTAGTTTGCTTTTGAGAAAATTGACACTCATATTTGCCCTAATCATGCAGATTTATTTAAGGGCAAATCCCAGGCTCAAATAAAGTTTTCCTATTTCCCTGGTTCAGTGCTATTTTCACTATTATCCTTGAAATTCAACTGGCATGTAATAGCAATAAAAGATGAGATGTTGTAAAAAGAATACATTTAGTAATGCTAGTATTGTCATTATTTGATTATTGTCTGTAAAATATGGAAATTAAGTATAAAATGGAAAGGTCATTGGTCTGTGGCTTAAAATGGGGCAGGAATGTCAGAAAAATCTTTCAACAACTATGCACTCTTACTCAATATTAATGTACCACTACACACAGCAACCAAAAGGGGAACTGTTATGTCAATTTAATGTTTTTTTAACATAATGAGAAATAATCCGTATGGAATAGTCTTATGAGGTAAATCTTACATATTCAATTGCCCTGAAGTTAATATGAAAACCAGGACTACCATTTTAATCTCTACTGCCTGTGTGGCCATTGATAGGCCAGGAAAAATGGAAATACTCAATTGTTAGTGGTTTAGGATATCATTTGCTTACTTAGACACAGCCATTATAGCTGCTAAGTCAGTGACCCTCAGACTTTTTCAACTGGTAGAAGACCTGGATGTCATTCATGATGCCTGTAATAGAATGCCATAACATGTAACATTTTCAGTTCTTTGATGCTGACATTTTAAATGATCAATAAATGTAACCACCTTACTTGAAAGAATGTAATATAAAAATCAAAACCAGTGCATCTAAGTTTTTCTGTTAGTATCCTTAACTGCTCATTTATTCATTTGTCAGTGACTACTACTTCCTATTAGAAAAGTGAGGCAGGCATCAAAGGTTTTATAAAAAATGTATGGAACTAAAACTTGAGAAATATTATTCACTTATCTAAATTATGTATTAGTAGTCATCCAGTTTATACCACTGTAGGGAAAAGTCTGGGGTGGTTATCTGAAGTTAATTTTTAATGGTAGAAGAAAATGAAAACTTCTTATTTGAAATATGTGCATAATTTTTATGCCTTAATTTTCTTAATTTGAAAATAAACCATTTAGAAAAACATATATTGTGTTTGAAATTTTGAAAAGAATGCCAAAGCAAATATTAGATTTTTAATTAGCCCTTATTTAATATATCCTACCAACTGGCTGAAGTAAAGAACTCATAATTTATAATGTACAGGATTCAAGGATTTTTAAAATTCTGTATTAAAAGCTGTACACATTGCAGTTTAAATGTTAAGAGTTCTAAAAGAAACATATTTTGCATGCACATTTTGTGTCCATTTATTTTCTGAATTTTCTTTCAGGACCAATATCCCCTAACTTGGACGGGAAAAAACTATAATTTGAATTTCTATTTTTGTTTCATTTAAGTGTTTACAAAATGGTCCAATGAGTATACCATGTTTTACTATTCTTATAGTTAAATTTTGCATAAAATGTGAGTAAGATTGATAAATAAAATAGCCACCTTTGAATATAGCATCCTTGAATATAGCCATCTTTGAATTATAGGTGAGGAATGGAAAAAGAAGGATATTTCCATTTTCAAACGAATCTATTTGCCCAAATTATTTTGACATCTTTTTTATTTTACTTTGATCAAAAAAACCCTGAGTTTATAGAGATTGATTTTTAAATGTGTTGTTTTTGGTTAACTTATAAACTTGGAAAGTAAGTTGCATTCTATGAAAATGTTGCATTATATTTCTACAGCATGTAATGTTACGCCAAGCATGAGTCTAAAATAGTATGTGCTCTTGTAAACAAGATCATGTGTGAAAATCTCTCTTCATTAATCTCAAGGAGAATAATATATCTTGAAATTCAATGGGAGTTTACATTTGTTTCTGATAGGAATGGTTTTCCCCTGATAATAGTTTAGTTTTTGTGTCAAATTTTGTCCTTCTAGTAAAGGTATAAATGACCATGTTAATTTTGTTTTGAGACTTTGATTTCAAGTATAATTTCATATTTGGCAATAGTCTTAGCCTATTTTAATAGTTTTTAATCTATTTGGAATAGTTTTTTGACTCAATAAGCCTAGAAAAGTTTGTTACATATTGGAACCCCTAACCAGAGAATGCTACATATTTGTGAAATATGCATAAAGTGGTAATTGCTTTTATTAAAAGAGATGCCTTTGATAGAACTACTTTATGGAAAAATTATATTCATTTAGAAGTGTGAAATACTTTCACATAGCTCAGAGTATTTACAAGTCATATGATGTAGGTATGATTAAGAGGTATGATTTAGGTATAATTAAGAGTTATACTTGCAGCGTTTGCCACATGAGAGCTTTCAGATGGATGTAGAGAATATTTTCATTAAAAGCAAATTCCTTCTTCAGAATTGCTGATGCCTTTCCTGATTACCAAGTACAAAAGGCTTTGCAGTTTTTGTTGTGAAATTTTCAAAACCAATTATCAACACTTATAAGCAAGCATTGTATAGTAGGGGTTGTACTAATGAAAGCAAATGAGAAAAATTCCTTAATGGTAAAAATCACTATGTGGTTACTTAAAGCTACAATGTGGCTATGGTGTGAACACACTGTAATATAGTCTTCATCCCATACACAGTTATTTGAGCTCAACATTACTTGTGAGTTCCTAAATTATCATAGAAAATCTTGACTAATCAAAGGAATTACAGATCATTCCAGTAATAGAAAATATCCTATTTCTATATTGTAAATGACTCTGTTGAGTGTTTTCATACACTTCAGTTACAAGTTATATGATGCACCATGCACAATAGTCACCAAATAGCTGTTTAAATATTTATTTTCTTTATTAATTCAACATATTTATTTATTAAGTACCAACATATGCCAGACACTGTGCTAGGCTCTAGGAATAAATAAAATATGGTCCCTGTCCCAAGAAGCTTGCAGTCCACTGAAAATTAGGAAAATGAGAACCATCATTCAGAGAAGAATTCAATAGATACTATTTATATTATTTATCATGTAGACACAAGGGCTTCCCAGATGGCTCAGAGGTAAAGAATCTGTACGCCAATGCACAAGATGCAGGAGATGAAGGTTCCACCCTTGGGTCAGGAAGATCCCGTGGAGAAGGAAATAGTAACCCACTCCAGTATTCTTGCCTGGGATAATCCCATGGACAGAAGAGCCTGGCAGGCTGCAGTCCATGGGGTCGCCGAGAGTCAGACATGACTGGGAACAAAGGCACTACATGTAGGCAGAGAACACTGCATATACATTGACTCATTAAATCTTTACAAAACTAATTTAATGAAAGAAGAAAGTGAGAACGGAAGTTAAGCGATTCATCCAACCAGATGCAGCTGTTACACGGTAGAGCTGAAGTCTGAGCCTAGCAATATCTGATTACCAAACCTTTGCAACTCCCCATTGCCTTCCTTTTAATTAGTTTAGGTCACTTTTCATTATTACAGTTTTTAACTCTAAAGTTGTTGTATATTTTTTAACTGGCTCAGGGTTTCTGGTTAAGCTAAAAGAAGCATTTGTTTTCCTCTAAAAAGGAAATTTGTCACACAAATTATATTCTTCCTTGTTTTTATTGTAAATGATAGATATATGGTCCTATGGAAGAAGGAGCACAAAAGGCAAGTTTTCAAATATTTTGAGGAAGAAATTCCAAACTCATGAACATTTATTAATTCAGTAAATGATGACACATTCAAGGTCAGTTACCATGCTAGGGATTCAGAAGTGAAGGAGGCAAACCTCATCCCAGCCCTCATGAAACCTCTTAGTACATCAACACTAAACAACTTGTCCTTCTTAGATGTGTTTCCATCTAAACAGTATGTTTGTTTTATAGAGTTTTCTTAAATTATTGTATTTCTTGTCTAAGTCCACTCTTTTGCAATATTTAAGCAATAAGCATTTTTTGGCAGCGGGATCCCCTTGATAATACACGTAAGGGCTTTATAACCCTCATACTAAATTATAAGGTCTGATAAAACCAGTCTATAGGACTATATCATCTTTCACCAGT